GACTACTATAATTAATACCTATAACGGTAAGTACGAACGTAAACGTAAGTAATAACTACTATACTAACTAATAATATATCTCTCTCTACGTAGTAGTATATATATATATATATATATATATATATATATATATATATATAGAGGAAAAGCTTGGGTGAGCCCATTAGCTCATGAAATACTATAAGCCCAACGGCCCAGGTTGAATATGAACCGATTTGACGAACACGGATGTCTGGTAGTGATTTGACGAATACGGATGTCTGATGTGAGTACAATATTTTAAGGACTATGGTTGAATCAAATATGAACTAGAACAGAAGTCTTAAGAACCATACAAATATTCATCATTAAATATAGCTACAAAAATATAGAAACAAAGAGTCTCAAATGGGCTAGCAATCATCATTTATATACTAGAAAATACTACCAAAGAATACCAACTAAGCCGTCTGATTACGTCTAAAAGTGAAAAAGCGGAATTGACGTGTGCATTTTATTTGCAAGTTCAAGAACAAGAAACTAAGAAAAATACAAGAGTAATCCAGTGATAGGATCACATGGGTCTAAATCTAAACATCCACTATATACTATTCCATGCATGCCAACAACTAACAAAGATCAGCGTTGTCCTATACAAACCCACAATTAACCCATATGTTTCCTTCCAAAGAAGGACTTTCTTATATCAATCAAGCTATGAATCCACACTACACTCTCATTAATGAGCACATGCTAATGAAAATGAACGGTTAGCATGTAGCTACAGATACCAAATTGCATGAAGATTTTCATTCGCCAAAAAGACACTCATCCAAAACCTCCATCAGAAGAAACATGAACAACTAATATGCGACCATTAACAAAAAGTCCCATAACGACCAACCCAAGAGCTACATGATTAAACATGAAAAACAGCATATAACTAACAGGAAAAGAAACCAAAATTAAATAACTTGTCAACCAATTAAATAGCTTATCGATGCAATAAATACACATAAAGAGGGGAACCTTGAAAGCACAATCTGAAAGTCAGTCCCCTAAAACATGAATATAACCAAAAAATTGAGATCATTTTAATGGACATTAACCTAAACGATGGTTGGAACTCAGTTGGAGTGCCTTCCTTGTCACCAAATTCACCAGGAGGTCCACGACGACCCCCACGGTACCCATCTCGATCACCAAGTCTTGGCCTTTCACCATCAAAACGAGGTGGGCCTCTGCAAACACAACACAAACAATATCCAAATTACTTAAAACACTACTAACATAGCTCACCAACAACCAACGAAAGAAAATGAGTATGAAGATGAAGAGAAAAACATGAAAATCCAGTTCAGCGAAAATGTTTCTATACTTCCCCTCAAGATAGAAGATATATACTTCCCTATCCAGCCATTGAATTTAGATCAAGTGAGCCATTAACCATTTAATCTTAGATCTGTCAGATTATTTTATTTTTAATTTCTTTTACAAATTATATAAATATGAAATTTGGTAATGCTATCATCTCAATGGAGCGCACCTAAAAATAATATTGAAAATATATTTTCGACAAAATAAAATAACCAAAATACCACTAAAACCAAAATATTCCTTTTCGCATGATACTATTTAATTAACTTGTCCAAATAAATTAAGAAATTCTAGATCTATTTTCACGTAAAAAGAAAATAAAAACATTACATTGATTTATTTAGAAAGAGAAAAAATTTCCCAATGAAGAATTACAAAGATGGACATTGTAGCCTTATATTATATAGCTTGAACAAAATGAAATTATAACAAAATTTATCTCCTTGGAGAGCCAAATAAAGGCATATTCTGAGTTGCATTTAGATACTATCAAAGAGGATTATCATATTTCCTAAGACTTTTGTCTGGCAGATGTATATCCGAGAATATTCATCCCTCAAGCAAACGCATTTCCAAGTACCCAAACGAGAAATTAGACTTGTCTTTATAAAATTTGTGATCTTCTCTCTTCTTGATAGTTGTCTTATTCTCTATTATTTAAAGCTACATATCCTACGTTTTAAATGTGACTCAATATCAGATAATTTAAGCCAAATTATTAGATTATCTTGTATTTTTCCTTTTGAAAAAGAAGCATGATAGGGTTTGCAAAATCGAGACATTTACCATCGGTTCTACCTACACCAAGTTGTGGGGATGCATCCTATTGAAGCTAGCGGCCAACCACAATAACAACAACAGTAAATTGAAAACTATTGAAAAGGGACCGTCGATGATTGGATCTAAGTGTTTTAAGGAGAGAAAAATAATAATAACCTTAAGTGTTGTTTTCCTCTTTTTTTCCCTGAAAAGCATTTGATGATTTCTAGGTACAACCAAACATTTTTAATTAAAAAATATCATTCTAAATACCTCATTGGCCCGAGGGAGCAAACAATTGTACTCTCCCGTGAAAGCGTAGTATATGTTAGCAAATCTGGATAACCCCAATTTCCACTTCATGTGGTAAACTATTCACAACAACAAATCTAACACCTTAGAAGTGATTTGCCAATCACTAACGAGCCAATTTGAAGAAAACAAGATGTTGAAAAATAAAAATATACGTGATAGAAATGGGGAAAAATATAAAATGGACAAAAAGCTATGAAATAGGAATCCAAGAAAATACAACACACATGCACATAGCAAAAGGCACATGCCAATTTATGTTGTTTGCCTAAATGGGTACACGGGCAACAAGTAAGAATGCATTCACTATCAATGGAGAAATTACAAGTTTTAGGGATCTTATAGAAATTACATCGCAATGGTAAAGAAAGTTCAAATCATTTTTCTTCATACCACAAAGACACCATTACTCAACTCCTTTATTTGATGCAATTGCCCGACCGCATCTTTGTAAAGAATTGTTCGTAAGTTTGGCCTAGGGCACAACAACGCTACGGTTTGCCAATAGATATGCATTCTCCCAATCCCTCTTTTCCCAAAACTGCTTAATTCTCAGTTTTCTTCTCTTTTACGGTGACTT